AAGCATGGCGGCGACGGAGAATGAGAAGGGCGAAAGCGGATCGTTGAATGAAACAGATGAACCAGAACTGGTTTGTAAAAATGCTGCAACTTCACTGGTGTGGAACTGGTTTAGCTTTCGTCCGTCAGATACACAACAAAGCACTATTTTTGGTAGCGCATGCTAGCGGGCCGTCGTTATTACCGTGTTGTTTGGAAAATACGGCGCACTTAAAATCACTGAAAGTCGACAGAGCCCCTTATAATCCCGTGTGCCTTATGTATGAACTCTGGTTGTGTTTACTGACCTCGAGATGATTTTATGTGCACGGCGCTCGAAAATCTGTCAGATGTTTCGGTACGACTTTGCTGAGCTACGAAGCCGCACCGCTTGATGGATTGTCGGAGCATTACGGCTATCATAGGCGGAGCCTCGCGGAGTGATACGTGCTGTGCAAGGTAACTTTGTGTAACTTTAATGCACATAAAAAACAGCTGCTTGTTTAAGTGAAAATACATTGATGGTTTTTTTGCACTAATAAAATTGTGGAGTTGCAAAGTATTTTGTCTCGTGTCAATTATATCGTCAGTTATATCGTTATCGCAAGTTTTCAAATGTATATCGTGATAAATATTTTTGGTCATATCGGCCTGCTCTGCACTGAGGTTTACTGTGTACAGTCCTGATATGTCACACATGTATCCTGGGATAAGCTTGTAGCTCCGCTGCAGTACAGAGAAGATTAGACACACAGGATGCCCGGAAATCTCCCCCATCCATCACAGAGCTTTCAGAAACGCCCCAGGAGCCACAAAATGTACACACATGCATACAGCCAAGCAATCGTCTCATTTGAAATGGGTGTAACATGTACCATGGGCTAATAACTTAATATTGAGTGACTAAAACAAAGCCAAAAACAGCCAAAAATAGTTACAACTGCACGATCCAGCTTCTTAGTTCTTGCACATTAAGGTTGAGGGTAAAAGGCTTATGTGAAGACTGAATAAAAAGGCTGACACACAGTGTTCAAACACAAAAACAGGATACATTCCCACAAGCGCGCCTTATTTGTCGAGGCAGCTGACAAAGCTCGGGAACAGGCACCACAAAGGCCTTACAAACACTTGTTCTTCTTGATAATGTGCTAATCCTCATCAAGCTGACACCCTGAAATACCAAGAAAATGGATCACTTTCAAACAGACCTTTGCTGGTTGAGGCTTGCAGCTGTCTGACAGAAAAACACAGGAAGAGGGAAAAATGTGGAGAGTGATAAATTGCCAATACTGCAAAGAAATAAAAGCTGGACAGAGACGTTTGTTCCACTGAAGAAAACTGATTGATAAATCAGCTGATAAATCAGCTGATAAAGCTCCAAAATGACACCCGATGAAATGGCGTTTTCCCAGGTGTCATAGCAACCAAACCACCTGCAGCATACAAATACCACAAAATTCAAACTCGCTCCAGATTATAAAAGCTGACCTTTTCCGAGGCGGCGTCAGAGGGAGAGCGAGAGAGACAGACGCGGGAATTTTTGCAGTCCTACCAGGCACGGAGCTCAGCCAAACCTGCGGTTGCCGTAAACAACAGGAGCGGTTGAGAAAGGAGTCTGTAAAGAAGGGAGCGGCACTTGGAGCACAAGAGGAGAGAGGTGAAATATTCAGAGTGACCCTGGATGCTTGAGCTGTTTCGGCTGCTGTTGTTGGGTCATGGATGCAGAAGCAGCTTAGCTGGACCTCAGGTGCCCTGAAGCTACACGACCGTTCTCCCTCGTGATGACTGTTTCACTGCAGAGCGAGAACAGCACTGCACTGTAGTGTTGGCCCAAGTGTCCCAGCTTTGATTGGCAGCAATTATAACCTCAAAGATGATTGGTAGCTGCTCTGAAGGACCAGCAGAACGTGCTGCAGGTGCAGCGCTGGTGTGACTGCGCCGAGCTCAGAGAAGCTCCACCAGCTGCAGCCTCCTCCTACACGTACCTATGGAGACTTTTAGAAAACTGGAGCAGCTGGTTGGATTCTGGTCACTAAGGCTACATTCACACTGCAGGCGAAAGCGCATCCAATCCGACTTTTCTGACCCTATGCGACCCATATCCGATCATGGTGTGACAGTGTGAACGGCACAAATCCGATCTGGGTCACTTTCGTATGTGGTGCTGAATCCGATACATATCTGTAGAGCTACTACTCTGGTGTTACCTCGTCATCTATTGGCCGACTGGTTCAAAATGCTGCAGCAAGGCGAGAGCACACATCCCCTATACTCGCCTCAGTTTTCAAATTGATTTTAAGATCTTGACACTTGTTTGTAAAACATTGCATGGACTAGCTCCTATATATATCTTTCTGATCTTTTAAATTTGTATACTCCGGCGAGATGTTTGAGGTCTGCGGACCAAATGCTTCTAGTTGTCCCCAGGTCCAGATTAAAACAGAGGAGATCGGGCTTTTGCTGCAAACTGTGGAATAAACTGCCTTTACATACCAGGACCTCTCCAACACTGGATACTTTTAAAACTCATTTAAAGACCCATTTTTACTCTTTGTCTTTTAATTCTGTATGAGTCTGTCATTATTTTATTCTTATTATTTTCTTATCTTTTATTTTACTTTCCTTTTAAATTTTATCAGATTCTTTTATCGTACAGTACTTTTAAAAACAACAACTGTTGACCAAAGTGCTATATAAATACAACTGATCTGATTGATTTTTAATTCAGGCTTTTGGAGCTAAACCACTTCTCGACTGCTGTATCTTACAGAAAGTCCCTTAACCCTGTCAGCAGGCCTGGTCCTGACTGGGAAAGCCATTCCCAAGGACGCCGTGCTACTGCTCGATCTTAATTAAACCACACAAAGTGGCTACATAGCTAATCTTACAGCGCAGACACAAACATGCTCCTAATGCTTCTAACAGACCCAAACTGCTGCTGAGCTGTGCTTGGACCTCTCCAAAGATTTGGTTGAAGCCATGCACGGACAAAAAAAAAAAAAAAACGAAGGCTTTTGATCGTTCTCAAAATAGAAACATTAGAAAAGCAAGCACGGGCTAATCTCACAACATGGATTCATGTTTTGTGAAGCCGTGAACAGGGGCAGAAAAATCCCCTGTTGTGAAACAGACGTAAAAAGATTCCCCGAAGCGCTGACGTTACAACTCTGTGTGAGACGCGAGTGTGCTGTGACCTCAGAGGCTAATCTGGCAGATCAAAACGATATCTGACACCATCTTGTCTGACTGCGTGCCTCCAAATGATCAAACGTATTGGGAGAAGACTTCTACTCAAGCACAACTGAACTCCAGCAGTACCAGAGAAAGAGGAGACAAATGCTTAAGGTTGTTGTTAGCGTCTGGGTTCAGGACAAAACGGCACAACTGAGACAGGTATATCATTTCCTGTGTGTACACACACACACACACACACACACACACAGAGTCTGTAATTCAAACCTGTCATCGCTGAACAACAGAGACCTGTTTGGTAAATAAGAGAAGTTCAACATTACAGATGCACAGGTCCCACAGCACATCTGCTCTCCATTCTCATGTGGGATTTGGGGGGGGGCAAGAAAGAAGACATAGTGAGAGTGTTAATGGAGTGAGAGAAACAGTAACAGAAAGCACAGAGGACAGAACCACAGAGACCAGCAGATGCATCTAAACGCCTGCAACACAATCAGTGTTTCGCTTTCCTCTGCCCACCCAGGGTCTAGTGTGTGTACCCACTGAGGCTACACAAACCTCATCTTTCAACGCCACCCACAACGTCTCTCTTTTTGTAATGAAACTTATGAGCGGGGGATGTGACTTTATTTGAGTGAGGAAAATTCCACGTTGAGAAGTAAAGAGAAGTAAAGAGAATCCCCACAGCGACCTGCAACCGTGGAAAGGGAGCCGACATGAGTAAATAATTCAGCAAAAATTCACCTCTTGCCCGCCCTGGGCTGCTGGGTTGGTAAATATAGGATTATGCAAATGAGCACACGAGGCATTGAATGGTTCCAGTTTCACATGCGGGATAGGCCTGCAGTGTGGGAGTAAAAGGGAAAGAGCCAACTCGCTAAATATGGATCAGCTGAGGAAGGAGCTGCCAACAAATGTAAAAATCCTGCTTCAAATGGAGAAGGCACACTCCCGGCACAGGGAGTCCACATGTCCATGGCGGGTTAAGGAAAAACCTGAGAACTTCCCGTCTTATCTTTGCTTGAAACATTTTGATACGACAAATCTGAAGAGTCCAGCAAACCAAAAAACACACTTAAACCAACTTTGCAACCCAAAAACGTCAAATATGAACCCTAATCTGAGCGACTGGTCGTCATCCATCGGCTGTAAAGGGGCGTACGCCAAAGAGGAAAACTCAAGCACACACTGAGCCCTCAGGAGAACACTCAAAATTATAGTCCATTTATATTAATGATGGACATGATGAGTCCCCAACATCCATAACCACTTTGTGTTGCATTCCAGTCTGAGAGATCTGGCATGTAGCACAGGGGCACAGGCAGGGGGCGGGGGGGCTCAAAAACTGTGAGACCTTCAGACTAACAGTGTGTTTGGAGTCAACAAACAAGGACGAGGGCAGGAAACAGCAACGTGTGCGTGGCCAGCACAGGCAACACACAAAGCGGCACTAGTTGATCATTTAAGCCTCTTTTCCATTAGGATCGACTCAGCACAGTTTATTTTACACTCGATGAGTCACGGGAGCGTCTTGTTCACAAAAATTAAAGCTGCCAGCTTTGAAACCCGGCAACAAAAACACTGCCGTGGTCCCGAGTGTGACGGAGAGACACAGACCGAGCAGCAGGTATATTCCCGCCTCGGTGTCCACATTTTTTGTAGCGTTCGTGTCGCATATTAACTATGTCGCGGGATGCTCTGACATGTTGCTATGACGATAAGCACCCACACTGGATTGTAACGGAAAGCCGGTCGATCCGAGTAGGTATTCGTGGAAAAGGGGCCGGACTAAGGTTTTGGAAAAATGAGGGGGGAAAGAAGAAAAACTACCTGATCCCTGGTGCTTGTGTCTGGCTCTGAAGGTGTTCCTGCCAGCGCTGCTGATGGTGGTGGTGAAGAGAATGAGGGTGAGGGTACGTGCAGGCAGAGAGGCAGCACGGGCAGGATGAACCGGTCCCTGGGTGGGGAACAGAGCCGGGACCTGGACCTGGATTCTGGAAGAGCGGGCACTCCTGCCGGCCACAAGGGCAGCACACAGCGGAGGGGAAGTGACAGTGCTGGCAGCAGAGCGCAGCAGAGGAAGAGGACGGGGGCACAGCGGAGGGAAGGTGGCTTCTGACGGCGACGGCAGGAGAAGAAGAGGCGGCCGATGCTGGGGGAAGACTCCTCAGGGAACCATTCTGTTTGAGCACGCCACCGTTCTGGCTCGCTCTGTTCACTCGCTGAATAGTGTGTGGCTGCTGCTGCAGCTTTGATGCTGCGTCTTCATCTCCTCCTGCTGTCAGACAGTCACTAGCAGGGTCGCATGTGAGAGGGTCCTGGCCACTGCTGACTGCTGTCCTGATGTTTGAAGGTGCGTGTCCGCTGAGAGGATGCTGCCCACCGTTGCTGAGGGCCAGAGGGTCGCCGATTCCATCGCTCAGGGCCATCGTCCTCTCCCAGCGGGCCGGTCACGGACACCGTCACTCCTCTGCAGAGGGAGATGATACATTTTAGTGGTCATTCTCTCACTCACCACAATTTACTATTAGTTTTTCTCATTTCGATTCTAGCATTGCAACGTATATTCAGAATGTGATGCAGTTGTTACAACTGTCGGTGTCACTGCAGCAGCATACACACTGATGAGCCTTTAAAGGAGTCCTTTAATGTTTCTCTTTATCGTTGTCTTATCAGTCTACTAAATATGGAGATACAAGGGACAGTCTCTTTCCCACGAAGAGCTGGGGTGGGGCAAAAGGCTGATAAGGTATCGTGATAAGTTACTAATACACTCAGGCCAAACAGCAATATTGTTGTGAAGTGGTGGAGAGCTTTTTCACAAATTCAGATTTGTCTGAGCATTTAATTTTTTTCAAACACATTTTCCCTGATTGAGGTGGGAATTCACTCACCAGCTGTTTGCCAGCAAATACTGACTGACCCTTCAGCTGCCCTCACCTTTAATCCAACGGCTGCCCTTCCCCGAACCCTGGTCCTACTGGAGGTTTCTTCCTGTTACAAGGGAGCTCATCCCATATGGGCCAGCTGGGATCATCTTTGCATCGCCTCTGTCAGTGCAGCCCAGGGCGGGCGTGCGTGCCCAGGGCGGGCGTGGCTACAATGTAGCTGCCGTCACCAGTGTGTGAATGGGTGGATGACTGAACGTGCAAAGTGCTTTGGGGTCCTTAGGGACTAAGTCAAAGCGCTATACAAATACAGGCCATTTACCATTTTGCTAAATAAATCAGCTTAAATTAGAGCAAACTGCCGCTACATAAACAAATGGAAGCAAACAGCTGCGCACCAACTAAAACTGCACCTACACCACACAACTGTCCCAATTTTGACTTGACCGTGCTCCGTTAATCCCCCGACAGCTCTGACTGCAATCGGGCTTTCAATGATATAACTGAAGTTATATTTTAACATCTGCACGTCCGTGTCATGCTGCTGCTTCCACCCGCTATTAGAAACTTGAGGCAGGTCCGTCCCAAAGTTGGGGAGAGCGGGGAAAAACAAAAACGCTTCTTCTTCTGTGTAATCCAGAGAAAACCGAAGTGTAAACAAGACAAGTTGGAGTTATGTGACTGATTATTTCTTGGCGAGCGACAGTGAGTTTTTGGAGTCTTGTCCTCACAGTGAGTCCAAGCAGAGACGAGCGGCTCCACAAAGTCACGGATCCTCGTCTGTAAATAATCCACAACACAAAGCACGGACTCATTCTTACACTTGGATGTTTGGACAGATAATAAATGAGAATAAACACAAAAATGAGCTGCTGGAGGCACCGTCTGCTAATTTTTTCAGTCTTTGGATGGAACCAGGATCTTCTCCCATTTCTGATTTCGTCCGTCTGCAGTTTGACAGACACGTTTATCCTGATCTTTTCATTTCAAAGTCAAATTCTGTTAGACTAGATAAACAGATGACCCTAAAACAAAAGCCTTGTTTGTTTATTTATTCATCACAGTCTCCTAAAAACTCCAAACTACCAGTCCTTAGAAAGTAAGGAGAAAATCCTTTTCCATTCACAGCGAGGGGCCCCAGAGAGGGCCGAAGAAAAACGGCACATTCAGCAAAAATAACACACTAATGACATTACACATGCAAAAACATTTAGATTTAAAACATGCAGACTTTTCAACTTTAGTGAATTAGCCATTTCAACTGTGATTGGTCAACACGTACAACATTTGTTGTGCGGTGTCCACTTTGGCACACTTAAGGAAAAGCGTGATTTTGCAGGAATGTGAACCGACCGAGCTCCCTGAAAGCACGTCACGCATTCTGGATAAGACCGAAGGAAGAAAAAACAGACGCCGTTCTGCCCTTATACAGCTCTACAAGTTCAGTTTTACATGTTTGGGTACTTCATGGCACAACTCTTTCTTTCATTAAAGGGATCATTTTTCAAAGCCTTTACGTCATATACTGCATCGGTTTTTACTGAGGTTTACTTCCCCAGGAGATCATGTGAGATTAACTCGTCTCTTCTCCTCTTTCCCCAGGCTCTGGCATGTAGCACCTTGCCCCTCTCTCCTTCAGTATATATGACTAACCCCACTGTTACTGGTACTTTGATGATACAGGCACAAATAAGCGACATTTCAAGTCTTTTTAACCACTCCTCACAGGTGGTGAGATATCCACGGAGCTCCTCGGGATAACCATAACATCTTCCCAGCCAGAGTGGGCTTATATTTGATTGAAGCCAGTGCAGATGTTTTCCAATGATGCAGCTATGCAAAGACCTCACCCTTTAGCACTGCCTTAAAGTTCACCTACCAGTGGCACAAGCTGGTACCTTGACTAAAGGTCAGTACTTTTTACAGAGTCTGCAATCACTGATCAGTCTAACTCTTCTTAGTCTGCTCTCATAGGCAACAATCATAAGGTAGCAGAACGGCGTCATTCTGCAGTGAACAGTAACTATGAGTGATATGTAACTAGCATGTAAAGGATCTGAAGGGTCATTTTACTCATAACCAGCGACACAAGTCGCTCCCCGATGGCCTCGGCGTTCAGTCAGAAGCTATATGCAACAATTTAAGACGGTCGATGGAAATATTACAAATTCAAGTCCCACCATGACGACACACAGAGCACGCTCACCAGTGCAGTGTTTGACAAGCTCAGGGTGGAAGGAGGATCACTGCACATGGGTGTCATATGTTACAGAGTGAGCATAATGTTGCCTTCAGTAAATCTTTCAGCTTGTCATTGTGAGATTGTAGGAACGACTGTGGCTGTGAACGCATCAGGAAAGTGTCCGAGTCATAAATCAGGCAACAAAGATGTTTGACGTTTTTTGTCCCACATACTTCCATTTTTGGACCATAATCACTTTTTTTTTTAAATTATTTTTCACTTTGCCAGTAAAGATGCTCATAGCTCAATTACTCGCTCCAGGTTCTACATAGTGCTCCAAATTAATATGCAAATTGTGTTTAAGTGTCATAAAGATTAAATAAGTTGTTTTTCAATTAAACCCTTGGATGGAATTGTGTCTCACGACTCTTTGCGTCACTGAAATCAGTCTCGGATACCTGTGTTCATTAGTTTGCCAGGTGAGCCCAATTAAAGGAAAAACTACTAAAGGAGGATGTTCCACATTATTAAGCAGACCACCATTTTCAAGCAACATAGGAATGAGAAATGATCTCTGCTGCTGAAAAGCGTGAAATAGTTGAATGTCTTGGACACGTAATGAAAACCTTAGATATTTCATGAAAACTTAAGTGTGATCACCATAATGTTAAGAGATTTGTGGCTGAGTCACAGCACACACGGGTTTGTGCAGATAAAGGCACAATGATGAAGGTTTCTGCCAGAGAAACCTGAGAGCAGCTGCTAAAAGACCATCATAAAGCAGCAAACACATATTTGAAGCTGCTGGTGACTCCGGAGCCCTGCGAACATCAAAGTGTAGGATCCTCCAGAGACTTGTGTGGTCCCCACTTTTCCCTGACCTCAAGCCTACTGAGAACCTTTGGAGGATCCTCAAGCAAAAAAACAAAACAAAACAAAAACAAAAACAAAAACAAAAAAAAAAACTGAGGGTGGGAGGCAGTTCACATCCAAACAGCAGCTCTGGGAGGCTATTCTGACATCCTGCAAACACATTTCCAAAAATCTACAAGTTCCATGGATGCAAGAATTGTAAAACTGCTATCAAATAAGGGTCCTATGTTAATGTGTAACTTGACCTGTTAAGATGTTTTTGATTGAAATAGCTTGATTTCAGTGAAATTGATCTACTAATGCTGCAAATTCAACAAATGACCATTTTCAATTCTCTACGACCTATAAAATGTTTTGAAACTCTGTGTGCGTAATAATTAGGAACAAAGCATTTTAAGTTTTTTACTTTTGAAAAACGCTGATTTCACTGGGAGTTTTGTTCAGTAACAGTGGGATTGTACTCTAATGGTTGATGACTCAAATTATGCCGACTGTCATTTGAATCGACTATTTAGGAAAAACAGAGAAAAATATCATTTGCATAATAATTTTGAACGAGGTGTAGTTTTAGAACACTTTTCACTAAGGACGACCGCTGTGGGAGTATGTTCTGTATTTAATACAGTTAAATCCACAAATCATGAGAAAGTATACCCTTTCATCTTATTTCATAAATAAAAAGAGCTCCCGTGGAGGTAGTCGTGCAGATCTAATAGAACTAGTACACACCTGTGCGGTAAACCTGAAGACAGATGGGTTTTCTCTGAAAACTTCACCTGTGAAATATTTGGCAGACTAAACTAATTTTCCCGTCTTCTCATTGAAGTCACAACAGTCATAAAATGAGGCCGTTTCAGATGATTTATGGAGCATGAATGGGCAGAGAATCTGAGGATTACAGAAAATATGAGAAAAAAAAGCTTCCAACAAGTGAGGAAAAACAGGAGGTTCGTGCTACAGTTTCAATTACAAAAATATACACAGGAGACCACAGTGTGTGTGTGTGTGTGTGTGTGTGTGTGTGTGTGTGTGTGTGTGTGTGTGTGTGTGTGTGTGTGTGCGCGCGCGCGCTAGGAACAGAATTGTTTCAGTGTGAGATGATTCTGTCACCTGTGTAAGGTGTTTTTTTGCTGTCAGTTTTAGTTTTCAGAAACAAAGTCTGAATTGGGAGATTTGGGGGGAAAAAGGATTCAGCAAAGAAATCTGAAAATTAAATCTGAATTTCTTTTTGTGATCAGAAGGTTCAATAAATGCTCGGTCAGTATCAGTGCAGTTACACTAAAAACAACTCCACTGTGCATCACATGTTTACTAAAGTCAATACAGCTACCAAATTACCTGCTTTTTTTTTTGCTTTTTTTATAAACACAACTGGGGGCAAAGGTCAAGCTCACAAGAGCATCACAGAAGGAGTCCAGCAAAGGTGTCTCAGGAACTATGTGACTATAAATGTCGCTGACATCAGCTCCTATGTGATGAGCTCCTGCTTCAGCACGAGTAGCATGTCATTATCTTTATGAGTAGGTATCTCTGAAGTTCACCACTAAAGAAAAACGTTACTTTTACTCTGGCAGTTTAGCATGAAAGGCTCGTGATCAGTAAAACCGCTCACAGCTTTTTCGCTGGATAAATAAATGTGCGTAACTCAAACGCTCGTTGGCTACTGGAGGCAGTGAAATGGACTAAAAAGCTCTGACAAAAACAGGCACAGTTTCAAACCTGTGTACCAAAGTTCATTTGAAAAGGGACGCCAGCACCCCGTGGATGGAAAGATGGCTCTGGGACTGACGATCAGAAACAAATTACCCAGTCTGCCATGACCCTTTCTGTTAGGATGCTACTGATTGGTAGCTTGTGAGGAGGCAGTTGCTACTAGGGCTGGGTCATATCATACCGTTCACGGTAATACCGGTATAATGTTGGGCAACGATAAGAAAATGAAATATGGCGATAGAATATGGGTAAAACGCGCA